TGATGTGTTTAAGACTTTTGCTTATTTTTTATAGGTTTGTTTTTCTCAACATTTAATTATAAGAATTCTTTGTATCTTCAATATACATGTCATTTGTCAGAAAATTGTGAATATTATCTCTCAGGCCATGGCTTGCTTCTTCATTTTCTAACTGCCTCCTTTTGATGGACAGATGTTTTAAATTTAGATGAAATTTAATTGTATCTATTTTATTACATTGTTAATATCCGGTCTAATATATATATACCTGCTTACCCTTAGGTTACAGAAGTATTCTTGTATACTTTCTTCTAAAACCTTTAAAGATTTAGAATTTTATTTCAGTCGCTAATTTTTGTATATAGTGTGAGGTAAAGAATTTCTTCTGGCACTTTTGTTGAAAATCAGTTGACCTTATAACGGCTGAGTCTGTTTCTAGACTGTATTTTTCATTTATATATTTGCTTATCGTTATACCAACACCATACTCTTAAATATTTTAGTTTTAATTGAGTCTTAAAGTCAGATATTGTTAGTCTTCCACCTTTGTTCTTTTTCAATATAGTTTGACTCGTCTAGGTTCTTTGTATTTTCATAGAAACTTTAGAATTGCAAAAATTGTGCCCTATATGTGTAATAAGAATTGTAATGCTTTCCACTGCTGTCGTGTAGTTAAAAAAATAAATAAATAAATAAAAAAGAGAAACTTTAGAATTGCTTTACAAGTTTCCATAGAAAGACCTGGTGAGGTTAGAATTGAGATTGAGTTGAATATATAACTTAATTTGGGGAGAGTGTGTGTATGCATGTGTATGTGTACACATATATTGAGAGGAGGAGGATCAATAGATTCCCAAGGTTTAGTGTTCCCTTTACATGGCATATCCATCCATTTATTAAAGTTACCTTTAATGTTGTGTATTAATAAAATAATAAATTTATGACTTTAACATTTAATTATTATCTATTTTTTCCTGTTGGATTGTGAGCTCTATATAACAAAGACTGGGTCTTGTGTTCATTATATCCCCAGGGCCTATCAGTATGCCTAGCACATAGTAGGCACTTAAGTGACTATGTGTTGATAGCATTTAGCTGTGTAGTTAAGCTTTTAATAAATTTAGAATAGTTAATTGATGTTTTTTGCTGACTTGATAACATTTTTATGAAGTAGGCAACATTTTCTTTTCATGACAGAAATTTAAGCAACATTCCATCAAGTTAAGTCTTGACTCATTTAATGTACTATCTTTCTTTTTTGGGCTCTTACATTAAGAACACGTAATGTGGATCAGAAAGGGTCTGTTGAGAGCCCTGAAGATTTGGCAAGAAATAATACTGACTGAGATTATTAACTAAAAAATGGAAAAGTAAGACTTTAAAAATAATGAAATATTATGATTACCTTCTACCAGAAAATATAGGCATGAAAAAAATTGAAATTAAATAGCAATTAACATTGAGAAAAAAAAATAGTTTCTTTACTAAAAGACTCTGCTTTCACTTACAAAATTGACTTCTATACAAGGTCAAAGAATGCACAGCTTTTATGAAGATCCATTTAATTTAATGACTTTCAGAAACAAACACTGTGAAAATAAAGATAATAATGTAGCCTGTAAAATTTCATGCTTTAGTGTTTAGGTAATTGCTTGTTAAATTAAGGTATTTTTTTCTGGACATGGGTATACCCCTTTCTTTTTTATTAAGATTATAATAAGAGGTTTCCTCTAATTTGGCTGAATTCTGTTTGGCTGTTCAACATTTATTCCAAATATTAATTTTAATGGGTTAAATTAATTCATTTAAGGCCCATTGAAGATAATGCAATATTGTGGTATTTGTATAATTATTGTTTTAAGAAATTACTTTGTTTCAAGATTGCACATAAGGAAAAAATATAGCAAAGATGAAATATGTTGGTGCAATAAGAAAATTTTTGGTTTATTTAGCCAAATGATAACAGAATAAATTTATTTTTAACTGATCATTCCAAAAGAATTAAACTATTCAGTTAATACAATGATTTCTCCAGGAATATTCATTTAAAAATTTTTAAGAGTATGCTTCTGAATCATATTCATATTATGTTGAATAACGGAATTTTATAGTAAGATAATAATATGTAGATCTTAATATAATATCCTTGAATTTTAGACTTTGCCATGCTGGTTTCCTGGAATAGGGAGGTTAGATAGTCATCATATCATCTCATTAAGACAAAGCATAACTGAATTATATACTTTATGAAATATAAATTCAAGTAGAATGTTTCACTGAATGACTTCATTGCATTTGAAATAGAATCTCAATGTTTGCGTCTGTGTTAATGAAAGTTTTTTTTTTTAAACACAAAGATGTTTTCCCATCTACTAATGTGGTGAAGAAATCCTATATAGTTAAAATATTAGTTGCTTATGTGAATATTTACAATTATCCTTTAGCACAACTTTTATTTTTCTTTTATTAAGTAGTTGGGTAGCAGGAAGGTCATAATAGGAGAAGCATCACCATGAAATGAATTTAAATTGTTTTACGGAGTAGACTTCATTTGTGCAGACAGAAAGCAAGTCCCTGAAAACCAATTTAATGGTCAGAAAAACTTTAAGGTCTAATACTTCAATCAATTCCTATGCTTTCCTTCCTGGGATGAGCACAAATAGGTTTCTAAATGTGTATTAAAAAAGGGAGCTGATGCAATGCACGTTGTGGTTCTGGTTAAGAAATATAGAGCATTATTTTTTACAAGTATTTTTTAACCTATTGTGGGTTTACATTTTGGATAAAATAAATGAAATGTGTATTTATATAATTCATCAATCTATTGAAAATATTTTAGTGGACTTAAAGTAGATGTTCATTAAAGTTTAATTTACTTTTTAAAAAGATAGTGTTACTAATAATCATTAATCCTGATATTTTTAGTTCAATGGAGTAGATTTAACTAATTATTGCTATACCTCCTATTATAGGAATAATTATATCATTCTACTATACTAAACACTAGTGGTAATATGATGATGATTATGTGATTATGATTATGATGGTAACATTTATTGAATATTTAGTATGCACAAGGCCATAAGCCATTTTACTGAATCATTCAGTTGAATATACGTACAAGTCCATTGTACAGATATTTTGTAAATACTATACATAAGTTATATAGCTTCCCAAGGTCACATTGCTATGAAGAATTTTCAATATTGTGTATGGAATTATTATACTGTATTACTCTAATGAAGCAACTGGACCTGTGAGCTGATTATTTATGGAGACATAATATTTGATTTTTAACAAATGTTCTAAAACAAATATAGTATCATTTTTGAGATAAACTCTCATTCAAGTTGACACTGTAGAGCTAAGTTGTTTTCATATACCTATAAGGATATTCTTTAGGACACTTAAAATATGGGCTTGAAATCCGTGTTCTAGGATCTCATACATCATTCTTAATGCAGAGATTTAAAACAACAACAACAGATTCATTGTTCTGTTTTGAAAACAATTTATCTATTCTCTAAACCTTTTCCCCAGGAAAGACCAACCATTTCTTTTTTCCATTCCCTCTTACAATCTCCTGCTCTTTATTTACTACTGCTCTCTAATTCACGGAGGTGTCAGAGAATTTCTTTCTGGTTTAGTTCATCTTCACTTTTAGGGAGGCTTTATGTGGCCTGAGCCACTTCCTCAGCATTCTTGACTCTTCTGGTCTCCTCAGTATTGTAGCTAAAGTCTTCCTTGTATCTGTAGTTGCTCTTAGTGGTAGTTTTATACCCTGCTTTAGGAGTAGGAGACCTCTACTTAGTATGGGGAAATGTGTGGGTTTTTTATTATTATTGTTTTTGTAGTTATATACATGGATAGCTTGCCTTTATGTTTTTATTTTTTATTTATTTATGGTGCTGGGGATTCAATCCAGGGCCTTGTGCATATGAGGCAAGCACTTTACCAACTGAGCTATATCCCCAGTCCTTATTTGTTTATTTTTATGTCTTGCTAAAATCAAACCCAGTCCTCACACATACTAGGTAAGTGCTCTGCCACTGAGCTACAGTGCTGCAGCCTCAGCCCCAGAGATATGTGTTTTGCCCTTTCCTCAGGGGCCTATGTGTTTTGTGCCTTTTCCCCAGCATCCACTGGTTATTGCCTGCATGACATCACCACATAAAGAAGCTCTCTTTAGTCTCCCTGCCTGCCCCTAACACTCAATGTAGACCTACAGGAAAGAGTTTATAAGTGAGTTCAAATTTCCTAGCTATTTCAAATTGCCCTAACCCTCAGATGATATACTTGATACTTTAAACTTTCATCTGATTTCTGGTATTCTTTCTCCCTGTTGGCTATAGTTCATATTCATATCTTTTATGGAATTGGCTCACCTGTATTTGGATTTCATGATACTTGGTTGTTTTGTCACTTCAGCTCTCTGATAGGTTCAGAAAAATATTTTAATAAGCTCACCAATTATTTCTAATAATGGATCAACTGGTATATATTTCTTATAAGAATTAACTACAAATTAACAGAAGAAATTTTTTGTTTTTCAGAATTTATATGTTTTCTTTTCAGAAATAAATATAGTATATTCTCCTAATCCTCTATGTAGGAAGTTTAGAATTAAATTTCATGGAGTTTTTATTTTATTCATAATTATTTTGAATTACTTTTTAAAATTTGTATTTCAAATATGTACACTGAACAAATTCTCTTTCAAAGTAGGTGGAATTTTATTTGAATGTATCTGGCAGCAAACTGTTAATTTTAATTTAGTTAAATGTGAGTGAGTCATATTTTTGAAACTATAAGTTTCATCCTTTCATCCTCTACCCCCTTTCACATTATTTCCTCCATACAAAATATGTTGCATGTGATAATTCAGTGAGAATTATAGTGGACTCTTTATGGTTCAGTTATCTTTTGAATTGCCCAAGGCTGAATTTGAACTGAATACTTAACAGTTTTGCAGAAAGGAAGTAGGAATGATTTTTTAAATTATTATTATTAATGTTTTTCAGCAAGGCTAGAGAAGATCTGCTGAAAACTCAGAAAGAACGTGATTTTCATCGAATGCATCACAAGAGAATAGTCCAAGAAAAAAATAAATTAATTAATGACCTCAAAGGGTAAGCTGACAATATTTGTTGGCATATATATTAAAGTTATTAGTGTTAAGTAATTTGAATATGACAGAACCTTTTTGATAAAGTTATTCACTCAATATGTACTGAGCATATAGTATGTACCAAATACTATGTTATATGTTTAAAACTCAAGAATGAATAAATTTAGGCCTTTGCTGTCAAGGACTCCAGGCCCCTCTGCAGTGTATGATGGTTGTGATGGTTGATACAGTTGTTGCTGAATCAACCAGGAGGGTAGTCATATCAATGATACTAAAGTGTGAGAGGGATCAGGATGTATTTTCAGAGGAACTAAATAGTGAAGTGTAAGTAATAGTAAATACAATGAGGGAGTGGAGGCAGCAGAGTGCTCTTGGTATATTCTGTGCAAAGGCAACAAGTCATGTAAGAGCATGCCATGCTTACCAAATTGTAAGCATAAAGAGCAAATTGCAGATGTGGCTTTGCAGGATAGGAGGATATGCTAAATGACCTTGAATTTATGATGACACTTTCAGAAATTATTCTGAAGACATTATTTAGATTTACTTTTCCACACAACCTACTTTCCTTTCCATAAGAAACTAAAAATGGACTTTATAGTCTTAAACTTCTCTTTTGCTTGGTCTAGGGCCAGGCTATCTAATAGAACTTTATGTGATGATGTAAGTATCTGTACCCTGAAATACAATTGCCAGCTAAGTCTTTATATTTAAAATATATTTTTTAGTGCTGCGTAATACTCCATGGTGTATAAATGCCACATTTTTTTTATCCATTCATCTATTGAAGGGCATCTGGGTTGGTTCCACAGTCTAGCAATTATGAATTGTGCTGCTATGAACATCGATGTAGCAGTATCCCTGTAGTACGCTCTTTTAAGGTCTTCAGGGAAAAGTCCAAGAAGGGCAATAGCTGGGTCAAATGGTGGTTCCATTCCCAGCTTTCCCAGGAGTCTCCATACTGTTTTCCAGATTGGCCGCACCAGTTTGCAGTCCCACCAGCAATGTACAAGAGTACCCTTTTCCCCACATCCTCTCCAGCACTTGTTGTTGTTTGACTTCATAATGGCTGCCAATCTTACTGGAGTGAGATGGTATCTTAGGGTGGTTTTGATTTGCATTTCTCTGACTGCTAGAGATGGTGAGCATTTTTTCATGTACTTGTTGATTGATTGTATGTCCTCCTCTGAGAAGTGTCTGTTCAGGTCTTTGGCCCATTTGTTGATTGGGTTATTTGTTTTCTTATTGTTTAATTTTTTTGAGTTCTTTGTATACTCTGGATATTAGGGCTCTATCTGAAGTGTGAGGAGTAAAAATTTGTTCCCATGATGTAGGCTCCCTATTTACCTCTTTTATTGTTTCTCTTGCTGAGAGAAAACTTTTCAGTTTAAGTAAGTCCCATTTGTTGATTTTTGTTATCAACTTTTGTGCTATGGGTGTCCTATTAAGGAATTTGGAGCCCGACCCCACAATATGTAGATCAGAGCCAACTTTTTCTTCTATCAGACGCAGAGTCTCTGATTTGATATCTAGCTCCTTGATCCACTTTGAGTTAACTTTTGTGCATGGCGAGAGGAGGGGATTCAGTTTCATTTTGTTGCATATGGATTTCCAGTTTTCCCAGCACCATTTGTTGAAGATGCTATCCTCCCTCCATTGCATGCTTTTAGCTCCTTTATCAAATATAAGATAGTTGTAGCTTTGTGGATTAGTCTCTGTGTCCTCTGTTCTGTACCATTGGTCCACCCTCCTGTTTTGGTACCAGTACCATGCTGTTTTTGTTACTATTGCTCTGTAATATAGTTTTAAGTCTGGTATCGCTATACCGCCTGATTCGCACTTCCTGCTTAGAATTGCTTTTGCTATTCTGGGTCTTTTATTTTTCCATATGAATTTCATGATTGCTTTATCCATTTCTACAAGAAATGCCATTGGGATTTTGATTGGCATTGCATTAAACCTATAGAGAACTTATAGGGCATTATGTAAAAATGTGGATGTGTAACCGATGTGATTCTGCAATCTGTATTTGGGGTAAAATTGGGAGTTCATAACCAACTTGAATCTAATGTATGAAATATGATATGTCAAGAGCTTTATAATGTTTTGAACAACCAATAAAAAAAATTAAAAAAAAAAATAAAAAAAATAAAATATATAATACTTGTTAAACATCCAACTATGTTTAAGGGAAACTCTATTATAATTAATTACATAAATATTTTTATCAATTTAGATTCTACCTTTGTTCATATTTTATTACTTAGGTGAATAAAAAAAAATCCATATTACTTTGTGATACATCCATACTTGCTCTATACTCAGATGGCCTTTATTTCTTCATTTAATCATTAGGAATAATGTTTCCATTTTACCATCTGTTGAATCACTAGTGTGCTTTTCCTAAGTGCCTAGAACAAAACTTCATTTATGCCGTAAGAGTCACATAAAAAAAATGAGTCATCAAAGTTAGTCACTTGTGATACATGGCTAAATTAGAATTTGAATTCTTTGTGTCATATTTTACCCGAATATTTCAATTGTATATCCATATTTCCTTTCATTTTCAATCATTAAAAGTGGAACTTTTTTTGGTAAATTGTTCAGCTAATTTGATAATAACTTTTACAGTATTTCCCATTTAACATGAATTTTTTAAAAATTCTTTTAGTTATTCATGGCAGTAGAGTCAATTTTGACATATTTATAAAAACATGGAATATATCTTATTCTAATTAGGATCCTAGTCTTATGGATATACATAATGTGGAGATAACACTGTGGTGTATTCATATATGTACATAGGAAAATTATGTCAGATTTATTCCACTGTGTTTTCTGTTCCTATGCCTCATCCCTTCCCTTCATCCTTCTTTGTGTAATCCACTGAACTTCTATTCTCCCCCAATTCCTTGTTTTGTGTTAGCATCCACGTATCAGAGAGAACATTGAATCTTTGGGTTTTGGGGATTGGCTTGTTTCATTTAGCACGATAGTCACTAAGTTCATCCATTTACTGGCAGATGTCATAAAGTCATTTTACTTTATGGCTTTATATTATAGTAATATTCCACTATGTAGATATACCACATTTTCTTTATCCTGTCAACTGTGGAAGGGCACTGAAGTTGGTTCACTATTGTCAATTGAACTGTGATTAACATTGATATAGCCATGTCACTGTAGTATGATAATTTTTAACTCTTTTGGGTATATACTGAGAAGTGGTACACTGGGTCAAATGGTGGTTCCATTCCAGATTTTTTGAGGAATCTTCATATTGCTTTCCAGAGTGGTGGCTTAAATTTGCAGTCCTACCAGCAAAGTATGAGTGTACCTTTTCCCCCACATCCTTGCCAACATTTATTGTTGCTTATATACTTGATAACTGCCATTCTGACTGGAGTGAGGTAATACCAGACCTTAGATTATACTACAGAGTCATAGTAACAAAAACAGCATTGTATTGGAACCAAAACAAGCATGAAGACCAGTGTAACAGAATAGAAGACATAGAGATAAGCCCACATAAATACAGTTATCTCATACTAGACAAAGGCACCAAAAACATACACTGGTGAAAACATATCCTTTTCAAAAATGGTGCTTGGAAAACTGGAAATCCATATGTAGCAGAATGAAATTTAACCCCTATCAAATTGCACAGAACACAAAATGGATTAAAGACCTAGGCATTATACCAGAAATGCTCCATCTACTATAAGACTCCTAAAGCTCAAGAAGTAAAATCAAAAATCAATAAATTGGATGGTATAAAACTAAAAAGCTTTTTCACAGCAAAGGAAAGAAGAGGGTGAGAAGAGAGCCTATAGAATGGGAGAAAATCTTTGCCACCTGTACCTTAGATAAGGCATCTATTTCTAGAATATAAAAAGAACTCAAAGCCTAACACCAAAAACCAACTAACCAACCAGCCAACCAAACAGAAACCCCCAAGCTAATCGATATATGGCCAAAGGGCTAAACAGACACTTCTCAAAAGAAGAAATATACACGTTCAATAAACACATGAAACTGTTCAACATCTCTAGCAATTTGAGAAATTCAAAATTCAAAATAAAACTACACTGAGATTTAATATGTATGTCTTATTATGATGTATGTATTTTGAGAATTATCATTATCAAATACAGAAATTGTAAACTAATTATGAAGTTCTATGGAACTTATAGAACAGACATACTAATTGGACAGTTTCTCTGAATGTTGTTTGCATGTTATATGACAGTAGTGTTTTGTGTTTCTAATTCTCTGAACAAAGTTTAGTCAAGGCCACATTTCATAAATGAGTTAGATGCCTTTTTGAGTCAGCTTTGCATTGCTGTGACTAAAAGACCTGATAAGAACAAGTTAGAGTAGGAAAAGTGATTTTGGCTCATGGTTTAAAGGTTTAGTCTGGTTGACCAATCCTATAGCTCTGGCCCTGAGGAGAATCAGAAAATCATGGCAGAAGGGTGAGGTAGAGAAAAGCAACTCAGAACATGGCAATCAGGAAACAGAGCTCTGCTCACCAGGCACTAAATATAAACCCCAAAAGCACACCCCAGTCACCTACTTCTTCTAGCCACACCCTACCTGCCAATAGTTATACCTGCCTAGTAAATCTATATAAGTGAATTAATCAATCCACTGATTAAATTAAAACTGTCATAACTTAATCATTTCACCTCTGAATATTCTTGCATTGTCTCACTTGTGAGTTTTTGGGGGACATCTTATATATAGGCCAAAACAATGCCAGAGTTAAATAAGGGGAGAGTTTGTCTTCAATATTTCTCACAAAGTATTTCTTTAACTGTCCATAAATTATAGCACACTTTTTTTGGGTATACAATTTTGTACCTGAATATGTGTTTATAAATGTATACTGTTTTGGAGGTATATAATAAAGTACATATATGCTAAGCACATAAACACAAATGGAAAATGGAATTGTACATACTACATAAATTTTTTATTTTTGTTTCTCTCTTTTATGAGTATGGTTGATTTAGCACACATTAAATGTGTAATAACTACTTCAATATTTAAGTTGTATTACTATCACAAATGAAGTATGATTTGGAAATCAATGAGTTTTATAAATAATTTAATGAAAATTGTATTGAATAAAATGAAGGCTACCATTTTAATATTTCAATAGAAAAAATAATGATACCCCATATGCTTTGGGTCATATCAGAATAATTACTATAGAACTAACCTTCCAAATGGTCCTAGAGTACAAAACTCGACAAAATATAGGAGTCAGTTGTTTTAAGATATTAGAAAATCAGCAAAGCAGTACTTGTGATGTCTAAGAAAAGGGAAACATATGAACTGAGCAGTGTGATCAACCCAATTTCTTCCTGAATGCATTTTGTAGACCACAGCGTGAGAAGATAGAATACAAGCAGACACAGTGATCATTGCTGAGCTGAGGAAGCAGAGATCATAGTTCTTGATGGCAGAGGGAGCTGGAATTTTCAGACAATTATACACAAAAGGAAGGGTGTACATGAAAAGGAACTTAGGAACTATCTGTTATGGTTCTCTTTAGTTTTTGGCCAAAACACTAACTTGTAGAAATACAAGTGAAGAGAATCTGAAACCTGGCAGATCAGCTCTGGGGAAGCTGTGAACAAAGTAGAGATTTCAGAGGCTGGACAGTGCTGGAAGATGCAATAGATGCAAGAGTTCTGAACAGTGATAACAGATCCTTAATAAATACTCAGAACATTCGGTAAGACCTGTAATAAGCCATGCCATAGAAATAGGTTTAGACCAGTCCTAGAAAAGGCAGTATTTTAGACTTGCCCTAAGAAAATTTTAAAAGTAATGTGACAAGCTCTGAAAGGCTCAAGCTCAATCCTTAGAGAGTTTTTCACAGATAAAGTTAATTTGCTTGAATTTTGTCATCTTTTAGAGAGTTTTTCAGGCAGATAAAGTTAATTTGTCTAAAAGATGACAAAATTCAAACAACTATGTATATGTGCAACATAGAGTGAATAAATAGATAAATATATACCAATGTATCTCTGTATAGAAAAATAGAAGCAGAAAATCATGTACTCTCAACAGTACGAATTAATACCAGAACTAGAGAGGACAGAAACAATAAAATTATCAGATAAGGAATTTAAAACAGCTGTTATGATATGCTTAGGGTTTTAAAGAAAATGATTATAATGTGTAAAGAGATGGGAAATTTCAACAGTGACATAAAACTATAAATGAAGAGCCAAGTGGAAATTCTAGAACTGAAGGGCATAATATTAGCTGTGAACAATTCATAAATAGTTTGTATTGGCAGATTAGACATTGTCAACAAAGTGATGAGTGAACATAAAAACAGGAAAATAGAAAATAATGAAGCTGAAGCATAAAGGAAAAAAGCTGTATAGTAATTATCAAAGCATCAAAAAGAAGAAACTGAAAAAATAACCTGTGGGTCATTATCAAGTGGTCCATGATGTTTGTATTTGGAATCCTAGAAGAGGAGTTGGACTTTCTGATTCTACTGCTAACTTACTTCAGTTGCCAAGAATGAGTTCAAATTATTCACTCAGGAATGTTTAAATTGACCACTTGATGGATAGTTGGACTAAATAAGCTAACTGTGAGCCATCTTTTAGCCAGGACTCCACTTAGTATCTTGTTTCTGTTGACTTCCATTCTAATAGAGGGATCATAATGTTCACTTTGGGTTTCTGGATATCAACAGAAACTTCCAACAGGTATTATCACTGAAGTAAATGGCCATAGACAATTTTGTAGAAGAACTGAGGCTATTATAAGGTGGAAAATTTCTTGAATGTTATGGAGTCCTTCTATACTGGCTACCAGGGCAGCTCAGGTATTTTACTTTGATGAGTGTTGGCACCCACTTCTTGAAATTCCTAAGGTGTGTCCTAGCATTTAATTTATCCCATTCCCTGGAGTTCTTACTATGTGGTTAAGTCAGTTTTCTAAAGAAAATGCTCCACAGTAAATGAATTATTGTTTGTCCAATCTTATATTCTAACCCTTTTTTCAAGTACCTCAAACCATTATGAGTGTTCTGATTCCTATCAGTGTTTTCTGACTAATTCTTTTGTAGCATTTTAGATACAGAGTCTCTATCTTCTCTTGTCACAGTATCAGCTTGGCATTCAGGAGAGGAGGTAGGGGCACTTCCAGAGGGGCATCTATTAACCATGGGGAAGAGAGAAGCCTCTGTAGCATCTTGTACCACAGGTGAAGCATTCAGTTCATCCAGGAAACGGGTGGGGGATACCTCTGTGAACCTATAGTGGCTGGGGAAAGGGACTAGAGAGTTAACATACTCAGGGAATCAATCCTGAGAACTAGGGGAAAAAATGGGGACATTTTATTTTAAATGGGTCCATTCATCAGGAAAACATATTAAATATTCATGAATCTAATACATGGAGCAAAATCTGATACAATTGTAAGAAAAAAGTTATTTCTACATTTATAATTGGAGATTTTTAAGACTCTTTATAATTATTAGAAAATATAGACAAATTCTCTTAAGTTTATAGAGTAGCACCATCAATCAATTAAACATAATTAATATTTCTAGAATTCTGTTTTGAACTTTTCAGGTGTACATGGAATATTTACCAAAATATATATTGAGCAATAAATGAAGTCTCTTTAAATTTCAAAGGATTGAATTGCACAAAGAATATTTTCTGACAAAACCAAATTAAATTAGAAATCAACAACAAAATGGTATCTAGTAGTTTCCAAAACATTTAGAAATTAATTAATGCACTTCAAGGAATCCATGAATCCAGGAAGGAAATTAGAAAATAATTTGAACTTCAAATAACCCATGAGTCAAAAAAGGAAATTGGAAAATATTGTGAACTGAGTGATCAAAAATGCAACAGATAAAAATTTGTGGAATGTAGCAAAAGCAGCTTAAACCTGATAGCTTTAAATGCCTGTATTAAAAAGGAGAAGTTTTATAATCAGTTATATAATCTTTTTATGTCTTAAAATCTTTTAAAAAAGATCAAATTACATAGAAAAAATGAAATAAAAAATGGCTAAAATCAATAAAGTAGGAAATGGAGAAACGAAGACAAAACTGTAAAGTAAAATATTGATTATTTGAAAGTACGTTAAAATTATAAACCACAGATAGGCTGATTATTACAAAACTGTTGGCAAAGAGTAGCCAGGACCATCACATATTCCTATTGGAAGTATAAATTACAACTCAGCAATTCAACTTCTAGGTATTTATCTAAAAGAAATGAAGATCTGTGATCAAAAGTGTCTTGCATGACTTGGATAAAAATATTCAGAGCAGCATTAGTTCTGATATCCTAACCTCAGATTTTCATCATCAGAATAATATATCATATCAGAGAATGTAATACAAGGAAGTATACTCACAGTAAAAAGGAATGAAGTATAGGTACTGATATATAAGACAACAAGAAATCTAAAAGACATTATGCTGAGTGAAAGAAGCATTTCCAAAGAAAACATATTCTATGATACCAAATGTATAAAGTCCAGAATTTTCTGAGATATTATAAATGTGGACTACATGAGTACACATAGTTCTCAAAACTCTTTGAACACTGACGATTTGTAAATTTTACCTCATGTACATTATACTTCAATTACAAATATTAATATTTTGTGGTCATTTTCAAATAAGATAGATTTTAATGATTTTGTATCACATGTTCAGTAGTATTAACTTACATATCAAAATACTTTTATACTTAACATTGTCTTGTTTTCAAGACCATCCTTTGTTTTGGTATGAATGATACTTTCTGTTTATTCATCCATTATTTGTGGTCCTAGTTTTGTGAAAATTATTTCCGAATTGATTAAAGGAACTGCAGTTTCTTAAATCTCAAAGAATTGAAGCAATCTGCTGAGTATATACTTAAATACAACAAAAGGTGCTAATAGGAAATAGAAAACTAGTGAAGGCAAATGTGGTATTTTCCTCTCCTCCCTTATCTCACTCCTCACCCCCAGGTTTTTGCATTGAAATGGCATGCTAAATAATGCTTACTGTGCTTCTTGTCTCTAGTGTATTGACCTTTATATAGTTAGTCATTTTTATTCCTCCTTCAAAAAATAAAAGAAAATCAGTTCATATGTTAGATGGGAATCACTTATTTAATTCTTTTACCCTTTAAGATGCAACAGTCCTTTTATTTTTTATAGGTTGAAGTTACATTATGCATCCTATGAACCAACTATAAGGGTGTTACATGAGAAGCACCATGCTTTACTGAAGGAGAAAATGCTGACCTCCTTGGAAAGAGACAGAGCTGTTGGACAGGTAAACAGACAATCAAAGCTACTTTGAAACAAGTTTTAATCATTATTTTAATCATTTTTTAAGTACAAGTAAAAACACTGATTTTGATTCTGAGGTAAATTTTAAATTTTTTTCACAAATTTTTATGTAAAAAATTCACTTGGAAATATTAAAAAAGTATTCTATCCATTTTAAAATCCATAATAATTATTATTAAATTAAATATTGTTTAATTGTAACAAATTTACAGTAGATTATTAAGTTAGAAGAAATTACTTAGCTATTGTGGCTAGACTAATGGGTTTAAAGACCACCTTTGACAATTATAAACATTGATCTTAGGCAAGTGACTCTTAGAGCTTAGATTTCATATATATAATATAGAGCCACAAAGCCCCATATTTTAAGGTTGTTGTGAAACATGTAAGATAATGAATATAAACTCCCTGTAATTTCCCCCAAATGAATATTTGAAACTCCTAGATCCTGATTTGATTTGTTTTTATTTTTGTTTGATGAATGACACCCTTTTTACTTTTTCCTGAAGAGTTTTTACACAGGCTTAGGCCTAGGGAAGAGGTGGGAAATCTTTGGCAGAGTAATCAAGGAAAAGAAAACAAAATATTTATTAACCACATATTTATTTTGTATATATGTATATATAAAGTTTACTACAGAATATAAAACTGCAATTGTACTTAACATTGATTTTTTATTATCTGGAATTTTTGATTTTGCCCAAACTCAGAAAATACAGAAGCTTGTGTGATGGTAATACAATTCTTTTAATAATTTTATTGTAAAGGGACGTTTTATTCAAGTTTATTTTGTCTTTTGAGTGGAATCTTTAGCTACTAAAATGCAAAACCTCATTTGTTTTGGTGCCCTTTCTGCTTGAATTTTAATCTTCTGTCTTTGAATGTTTAGATTGCATGATAAATAATATTGAATGAAATGAGTTTTATAATTATTTAAATTTTATGGCATTATATTCAAACCCTTAGAATTTAATCTCCTTGCTCCTTTTCATCTAACCTGTAGCAAGTACCTGCACTACCACCAAGTTGTTTATTTCTACTTCTGCAACCTGTTCAGCTTTGATTCTGCCATTCATCTGCTCTGTGCTTAGAGCTGTTATTTCTGTGGAAGCATTCTTGATTTTCCTGTCTCTGAAATGAGCATGATTCCTGAAGTTACATTAAAGGCCATATTGAGAGCATATTTAGAGTATATAACAATCCCTGGGTTTCAGATCATTCCTCACTGGTTTAGTAAAATGTTAAGGATTAGGAGTAGTGAGTTTGAATCTCAGTTTTGGGGTAAAGTGTGAATCTTCAGGTCATTTACATATAGTTTGTTTTCTCACATATTAATCAAAGGTAAATTATTTGCCTTATTATTTATATATAACTAAAATGAAAACATGTTTAAAAAGTTAAAATCACTCTGTGAGTCAAGGTTAAATTTTATGTACTTCTGTTTGACTGTATATTTATTAGCTGCAACTGTTTTGTTTTGTGCTTGAACTCCCGGATACTCCTGAAGGCAAAGAAAAAGATAACCTGCCTGCTGAAGACTGTCTAGATCTTTCTAGGTTAAAACAGCTTCTGTAAGTTTATCCCCTAGTATGTAAATATTATAGTAACTGGTTGGCTGAGAGATAATTATCAGTATTAATTTTCTTCCTTCAGATGGCGGCATCTTCTCATTCTCCCTATTATAAAGGGTACTTATGAATCTTATAGCATGGACTCTACATGCTATTCTTTGTCTTTACTTTCCTATGTAGTGTGACTTATTTGATCATATTCCTGATGTTCAGGTGCATGGTTTTCAGTGGGTTGAGTGTAAACCCTGTATACCTTGTTAATCGCATGGTCTCTGTCACAACATCTGTGAGCTTCTTAACATCTATAGTCTCATTGTCCTGACTCTAATACTTTTTTTCTGGTCCAGTGCTTCAGATGTTAACATTTCTATTTACCTCACAGAAGTATGCAGACGCTTATGATTTCCCTATAATGCAGATACAAGCCATAAGCAATTTAGAAAGCAGTTAAGGTCTGTCTACATTGATACATCATTTTCAGTCAATTTTTACACTACCTAGAGAGCACTATTTTTCTAGCACCGTGAAAATCATGAAGGACTTTTTAAGTGACTGTCATCATTCCTACACCATTTCCTGAGAAACTAGGAGCAAGTATACCCTCTATTTGGAGTATCCCCAGACTATGTAGTTTTATTTGAACTTTGTTCTTAGTAGGCCCACTTGGATTTTTAACTTGAGAGGGAAACCCACACTCTTATGTCTGACCTCTTGCTCAGGCATAGACTTCCCCTTTATATGTTTTGGTTCTATTGGATGGGATGACTTTTCTGTCTTCTTCTGTATTACAACCCACCCTATATCCTCATTTGTCTCAGACAGTCCTCACACCTGTTTCCACAGGATAATTTTTAATGGCTTCCACTTCATCCTAAAAAAAACAAAAAATAAAAATAAAATCCCTATTTAGAAAATACTTACTAATGGAAAAATTCTAAAGAGCTTATTTCTTGATATCTAAAATGGAACAGTTTGGATTTAGAAATAGCATTTCTCTCATCCACATCTGCTGTTCAAGATAGTAGATTCTGAACAATTTGAGAAAGTCAAGATTTAAATAGGAAATCCTGTTGCTGCCACCACTGTAGATTTCAGTATGGACATTACTGAAAATGGACATTCAGTGCTCTTTTAGAATTGTCTTATACATGTGAATGGAAATTGACCACAGCAGTCACCATCCTCAGGTTAAGTTCTGCACTGTACATGATTCCTCACATCAATACATGTTTTTCAAAATCCAAAATGACTACACAAGATTGATGGTGCCTAAGTGCTATCTCCTTGGCACTGGAGGGAGATTCATTATTATCTGTGTGCTAGTTAGGGATAGGCTGTGCAAACGTCTGGTATCTATAGCAACAAGTGGAAGACTTGTAGTTTTAAATTCAGGTTACTAACTGGTGAGATGACTGTCATATCTCTCTGTACAACATTCTAATTGATATAATAATATATAATAATAATAATATAATTCTACAATAATAATAATTTATCCTCGGATCAATTAGTTGATTCTTCAAATTAGGGCAGAGAATGTAGTTTTAGTCCATCTCTCTATGTGTGTCTTTGGAGAACAAGCCAAGGTTACCATTTAAAGAACTGAACCTGGGGGCTGTGGCGGTGGCTTAGCAGTAGAGCACTCACCTAGCACTGGAGGCCCTGGGTTCAGTCCCCGAACCACATAAAAATAAACAAATGAAATAAATGTTAAAAAAAGAGAACTGAACCTGTCTGGATACCTCTCATACAAAGAACAATTTATTACCAACCAATTTTTTTTTTTTCCTGTTGGAGCATACTTATCAGGTGTGGGTATACAGCCATAGGAACCTACAGTGTGTCATGATGTCACAGAACGAATTTATTAAAAATATTTGTAAAATGAAAAGAAAAAAGAACCTCAAGAAAACAATGGGATTTGTCAAGAGATAAAGGAACTATGGTAGACAGAGATAGGTGGATCTCCATTCAAATTTGGTTTGGATATTAGGGCTAATAGTACCTTCCACACAGCAAGGAAGTGAAAATTTTTATTACTTTCATAATTGAGTTGTCTCAGAGAGCAGCATATGCCCCTAAGCATTTCTGAAATGTATGAGTAAGATCAGGGAAAGGAGACTGGCTTATATTTTATTATGATTGGGGTTTAGGCAGGGTGAGCATTTTTATGTGGAGGGAGGGGCTTGCATAATTTAAATTTCCTGCCAATGCCAAGGAAATAGCAACTAGGGGTTCTTATCAGCTTGCCCTGATGTGGGACATGAGGGGAAGAAAATTGAGTGAGATTCTTCTTTTTTAGGATCCTAAAGTTGTCACAATTTAAGTAACAATATAAATTATGTAGTATTGGATTATTACTCAAAGCATAAAATAAATATCTCCAATTCTACAATGGTATAAATAAATCATTGAATAAATAAGTGGGAGGAGAATAGATAAATCTCCCATACAGGAGAATATTACATAATATATGTAGATATTCCTTCCCTGAAGGAGATTGATCTGGGCAACTTATCTATGAAGTACTGGCTGTACTTCACTACTTGCTTTCAAAAGTACAATAGATATAAGGGGAAAAGTAACTTTAGAGTGGAGAAACTTGGTAAACTACCTTAGCTGGGTGATCAAGGTTAACATAATAAGTTTTAAGTCATGTTGGCAGCATATACCTGTGATATGTTGTGCTTATAATGGCGTTTCACCCCTCTTGTCTTCTTTGCCAAATCCTATAAGTATAGCTTAACTATGGGGTAAACATCAGACTACCCAAATTTAAGGCCATTCTGTAAAATATTACTTGATTAGTATTTATAAATATTCAAGGCCCTGGGCTGATGTTGTGGCGCAGTGGTAGAGCGCTTGCCTAGCATGTGTGAGGCACTGGGTTTGATTCCCAACACTGTATATAAATAAATATATTAAAATAAAGTTTCATCTACAACTAATATATATATATATATATATATTTTTTAAATAAAAAATATATTTAAGGTCATTAAAATAAGGGAAAGTCTAAAGAACCACCCTGATCCAGAGAAAGCTAGGGAGATGTAATAAGTGAATGTAATGTAGTGTTATGGGTGGGTCCCTAGAACATAAAAATTAACAAAATCCAACAGAAAGGGACTTCAGCAGACATAATACTGGTTTATTGTTTGTGATAAATGTACCACCTTAATGCATATTAACAGGGGAAAAAGGCTGTAGGCATACAGGAACTCTTGGCCGTATATTAGCAACTATTCTGAAAATCCTATGCTATCTAAATAAGAATTTTGTTTTTAAAATTTATAATCCATCTGATCTGTAAGAATTAATATTAATCTGTTACTTTTTTTTAATCATAGGCATTTCGTTAACACTAATCTATTGATTATAAATTATCTGCAATTTTTATTAATAAAGAAATATTGCTATTCAGTGATAGTAGAAAAATGTATTTCTGTGTATAATTAAACAGATAGTTTTTTTGTGTTTGCATAATCATGTACAATGAGGGATGATATAGCTTTTTAAGGCTGATTTTAAATTTAAATCTAAATGATATGCCACCCAGCTAACAAATGTTCTTAATTATAAGACATATTTAATAAAATGGAGTATCTGTGGGTGGAAATGAACTAAGAGGTTTAGGTGTATAAACAGTCTTTTCATATTTTACTTTTCCAAATAATACTTAACCTCACAGTTTATAGATAGAAGATATCAGTTATCATGAAGAAATATAAACAGAGGACAAACCTCTCTCAAAGTAGAGAGCTGAATTATGATAAAACTGTGTTGTAAAATAAATGTTTCAGTTTCTTATCCATGATAATTAATAATTGCCTGCAGAATTCAATATTGACTAAAAATTATCTTCCTTTTGTTAAAGTTCATGTTTGACATTTAAAATTACAGGCTTTTATTCAAGATAAATAATATTTTTGATATTTTTCTTTTTATTTTACTTAGCCATTTAAAGTCATTTAGTACATAAACCTATATATTTGACTTTTTTTTCTTTTTAGATTTCTGGACTTCAGGCAACACTGAAGAACATAGATATAGGACATAATTTTCATATTCCTGAAATTAAAGGTAAAAGTAAAATATAATTCTAGCTTAATATTGGGGAAGATTTCTTAATCTTATCAGAGATCAACATTCTAGAGATATTTGAAAGTGAGTAAGTGGGGAGATAATTATTTCACAAAGCAAAATTTTAATTAAACAATTAAGGAAATGCAGACATGATAATATATAGATATATTTTTGAGAACTATGTGAGTCAGCCATCTTGGAAGAACTTCTGTTCTGATCATGATGGAGTACCAGGTACCAGACTAGCTTTGTCTTCATAAATAACTCCAAAACTAAGCTATAGATGAGGCAACTATTAGCATCTGCAAAACAGACATCTCAGATTGCAGAAGGAAATGATCTACCTTCAATCATGACTTCATGCTTGAGGAAATTTCCAAGCCAAGCTTCTTGGAAATGGATGCCAAAAAGAAAACTGAAAAGGCAGATAACATTGTTCATAACTTTGAAACTAGAATCTGTAGGAAAGTGCTTTAGAGAAGAGGGAGCTCAAAAGAGTGGCCTCAGTAACTATAAGTCTGTAGCTGGTGGTTGGGCTGCATGTATATAACAAGAGTACTTGAGACTTAACAGAGGGATAAAAGTCTACAGGACTAAGAACAGACTAGAAATTCTGTAGGCCAGGCAGAATTGATAGACATTTCCAATTCCAACTATCCCTAGTTGGGGAGAACTCTTTCACACATTATTACAATATATTAATATTCAGTATCCTATACTGATGCTATAAAAGCAGAAACAAAGCTTACACATGAGTTTTAGAAGAGACAGAGTTTAAGTTTTGCTAAGTAAGAAGACCTGGGTACCTTAGGACTTTACATAAAACTACCCAAATAAAGGACAAAATTAAGCCAAGAATATCAGAATATCAAAACAATCAAACAAAAACAGAACTGCCTTATAGAACAAAAACTGTTAGGAGTTCAATTCCTAATTGACTAAAATTGTAAAAAAGAATATACACGGTGTCTTGAAGATTGAAGAACTTTGCATATTGGGTTGATTGTTATAATCATTGATCTCTAATGATTCATTCATTCTTTTTCTAATAGTTTATAATTTTATATAGTTATCTTTGACATTTTCATCAAAATATAGTGGTGATTTCAGATAGCTCCTATATGATATTAGCTCCTTGTATTTAATTTAATGTATAAAAGAACATATTGCATGTTTTTGTAGACTGATAATTTACAAATTACTTTGAAGATCAAGTTTGCAATTGTGTTTTGATCTGTGCTAATTTGAAATGACTTAGTCGAAAGGAATGAATTCTTACCCAACGTGAAGAAATAGTTTTTTTTAGTTGCATATCCCAATTATCTGAACAAAATAAATACTTTAAAATCTATATTGAATAATTTTATGCGCTTTATAAACATACTCTCTAGTTTTAGATACTATAGTTGCAGTACCTTTTCCTAAGCTTCTGATCTCAGCATTTGATTGTGTGATCTCAAGACTCTTTCGGTGCTCCAGTTGCCTGAACTTGGGATATTACTTACCAAGGGGATTTATTTTTTTAAAAAGTTGGATTAATTATGGCTCTTCATAAATCTTGCCATCTTCTACATTTTTTTTGAGATGATAGGGATTAAAACCAGGACCTCAACTAAAGAAATTTTCTACCACTAACTACACCTTCAGCCCCACAACTATTAAATATATTATTAACTTATTTATCATGATTTTCATATTTTATTCCTTCTCTCTTCACTTGTTCATTTAAGTTTAATTTTTCTCCTCCCCCCTCCTCCTCCTGTCCTCTTCCTCTTCTTCTTCCCCTCCTCCTGCTCCTCCTCCTCTCTCTGTCATCCACTCATTTATTCATTTATTCATCAATTTGTTTATTTGGGGAATAAATTTGTATGGCAGTTGAGATTCTTCAAATCATATGTGTACACTCTGAAGTTAGAGGACAACAAATTGTCTTTTTCTCTGAACTTTAGCAAGAAGACAAATTATTGTTATTTAATTAAAATGTGGGAAATAAGATAAAAAGTGGATTGATTTGGAGCAGAGTTATCAAAGAATTTTCAGTGTACTTTGTTTTTGGTCCATAAAGTGCCATGTTGGTTATAGAAATTTTAGACAATGTTATATTTTTGTAAAAGCCACACATAATTACTACCACACAGAATTTTGTTACTTTAATACCTACTCTTCACACATGAAAAGGGTTTTTAGTTTTGCGTTTATCTCTTGTATGGTAGATAGATTAATAAAAAATTCCTAGGTGACATTATAAAGTAATAAATTATTATTGATTAGATACTTAAACTGACAATTGTGGATTATATTTACTTTTATTTTTAGGTAACATATATCAAATATTTCCAGGAACTGCCCAGAAAACACTTATTATTACATAATATGAGATAAAACTGAAGTTTTGTGAATTATGCATTTTTTAAAAAGTTTATGCTGGTTTTGATTATTATGCTTGCTATTTATATTAATTTAGTTTTCTATAGGTTGACATTTGAATGTAATAATGCTTATTTTCAAACCAGAATATGATATATATATATATATATATATATATATATATATATATATATATATATAATGGTATCTTTTTTTAGTATTTATTTTTTAGTTGTAGTTGGGCACAATATCTTTATTTTACTTATTTATTTTTACGTGGTGCTGAGGCTCGAACCCAGGGCCTCACATGCACTAGGCAAGTGCTCTACCACTAAGCCACAACCCCAGCCCTAATGGTATCTTAATATATCATAATTTTTCATAGAAAATTATGAATTAAGAATGAATGACTAACTCGAAATTGGACATTTTTGCTAAAGTGAAAAGTTGTGAATGTTGACATCAGAGTTTTACAAATGAAATAAATATTCTTTGTAGTTAAGCAAAGTACCCTTAATGTTTTGAACAACCAACAATAAAAAAAATAAAAAAAAATATAGTACTCCTTATATATTTTTATTATTATTATTTTTTAATTAGTTGCTGAAGACAATACAATGATCTTGACATATCATACATTTGAATCCAATAGGATATGAATTCTCATTTTTCGACATGTACAGATTGCAGCATCACATTGGTTATACATCCATGTGTATACATACAGCAATCCTAGTGTCAGTTGTATTCTGCTGCCCTCCCTATCCTTCCCTCCCCTCCCCTCCCATCACCTCTCTCTACCCATTCTACTGTGACATTTATCTCTCTCTCTCTATTTTTTCTTCCCTTCCCCCTCACACCATTGTACATGTATTTTGTGAAACCATGAGCATCTCCTTCCATCTTTCATGCAATTCCCCTTCTCCCTCACATACCCTCCCACCTCTTTTCCTTGTTTTGTTGTAATCTTCTCATGCTCTTCCTCCCTACTCTGTTTTGAGTCACCTCCCTTATATCAGAGAAGACATTCGGCATTTGTTTTTTAGGGATTGGCTAACTTCGCTTAGCATAATCTGCTCTAGTGCCATCCATTTCCCTGCAAATGCCATGACTTTGTTATATTTTAGTGCTGAGTAATATTCCATTGTGTATAAATGCCACATTTTTTTTTATCCATTCATCTGTTGAAGGGCACCTAGGTTGGTTCCACAATCTAGCTATTGTGAATTGTGCTGCTATGAACATTGATGTAGCTGTGTCCCTGTAGTATGCTCTTTTTAGGTCTTTTGGGTATAGTCTGAGAAGTGAAATAGCTGGGTCAAATGGTGGTTCCATTCCCAGCTTTCCACGGAATCTCCATACTGCCCTCCAAATTGGCTGCACCAATTTGCAGTCCCACCAGCAATGTACAAGTGTACCTTTTCCCCACATCCTCACCAGCACTTGTTATTGTTTGACTTCACAATGGCTGCCATTCTTATGAGATGGTATCTTAGAGTGGTTTCAATTTGCATTTCTCTGATTGCTAGAGATAGTGAGCATTTTTTCATGTACTTGTTGATTGATTGTATATCCTCCTCTGTCTGTTTAGATCTTTGGCCCATTTGTTGATTGTTTAACTTTTTGAGTTCTTTGTATACTCTGGAGATTTGTGCTCTATCTGAAGTGTGAGGGGTAAAAATTTGTTCCCAGGATGTAGGCTCCCTGTTTACCTCTCTTATTATTTCTCTTGCTGAGAAAAAAATTTTTAGTTTGAATATGTTCCATTTGTTGATTCTTGATTTTAACTCTTGTGCTATAGGTGTCCTATTAAGGAATTTGGAGCCCGACCCCACGAGATGGAGATTAGGGCTAACTTTTCTTCTATTAGATGCCGAGTCTCTGGTTTGATTCCTAGCTCCTTGATCCATTTTGAGTTAACTTTTGTGCAAGGTGAGAGAAAGGGATTCAATTTCATTTGGTTGCATATGGATTTCCAGTTCTTCCAGCACCATTTGTTGAAGATGCTATCCTTTCTGCATTGCATGCTTTTAGCACCTTTGTCTAATATAAGGTAGTTGGAATTTTGTGGGTTGGCCTCTGTGTCCTCTATTCTGTACCATTGGTCTACCCACCTGTTTTGGTACCAGTACCATGCTGTTTTTGTTACTATTGCTCTGTAGTATAGTTTAAAATCTGGTATCGCTATACCACCTGTTTCATTCTTCCTGCTTAGAATTGCTTTAGCTATTCTGAGTCTTTTATTTCTCCAGGTGAATTTCATGATTGCTTTTTCTATTTCTGCGAGGAATGCCATTGGGATTTTGATTGGCATTGCATTAAACCTATAGAGTACTTTTGGTAATATGGCCATTTTAATGATATTAATTCTGCCTATCCATGAAAAAGGTATATCTTTCCATCTTCTAAGGTCTTCTTCTATTTCTCTCTTTAGGGTTCTGTAGTTTTTGTTGTAAAGGTATTTCACCTCTTTTGTTAGGTTGATTCCCAAGTATTTTATTTTTTTTTGAGGGTATTGTGAATGGGGTGGTTGTCCTGATTTACCTTTCAGAGGGTTTGTCACTGATATATACATGAATGCCTTAGACTTATGAGTGTTGATTTTATATCCCGCCACTTTGCTGAATTCATTTACTAGTTCTAGAAGTTTTTTGATAGAACCTTTTGGTTCCGTTAGGTATAGGATCATGTCATCTGCAAATAGTGCTAATTTCAGTTCTTCTTTTCCTATTTTTATGCCTTTAATTTCTGTCATCTGTCTTATTGCTCTGGCCAGTGTTTTGAGAACTATGTTGAATAGGAGTGGTGGAGAGAGGGCATCCCTCCCTGTCTTGTTCCAGATTTTAGAGGGAATTCCTTCAGTTTTTCTCCGTTTAGAATGATGCTAGCCTGAGGCTTAGCATATGATCTGCCCAGATTGAGTCAAGAGGATATACACAACTTAAACAGACCAATATCAATTGAGGAAATAGAAGAAGCCATCAAAATACTACCAACCAAGAAAATCCCAGGACCGGATGGGTATACAGCAGAGTTTTACAAGGCCTTTAAAGAAGAACTAATACCAATACTTTTCAAGCTATTTCACGAAATAGAAAAAGAGGGAGTACTTCCAAATTCATTCTACGAGGCCAACATCACCCTGATTCCTAAACCAGATAAAGACACTTGAAAGAAAGAAAACTATAGACCAATATCTCTAATGAACATAGATGCAAAAATCCTCAATAAAATTCTGGCAAAGCAGATAAAGAAACATATTAAAAAGATCGTGCACCATGATCAAATAGGATTCATCCCTGGGATGCAAGGCTGGTTCAATATAAGGAAATCAATAAGTGTAATCCACCACATCAATAGTACTCCTATATTAAGAGAACATAATACTCCTTTTTATACTCCACATATAGTAAAGCACAGAAATCTTTATTTCACAAAGTTAAATTAACTGCTGCTTTTTAACTTTAATGTTTTGTTGCTCTTGGAATTGCAAGTGGACTATGTGGTTTAATTTAGAGATTCTATCTTTTCAAATATTTTCTCCTTTAACTCTTGACTTTTTCTGAGTTCTAATTAGGTATATACTTGGTTTCTGCATTTCACTTTACACCTGTCCTAATCTCTTAGACATTTTCTATTTATTCTTCTGGGTTAAATTATGAGTTATTTCTTCAAAAGCTTTTTACAGTTAATATTTCTCTTTATATTTGTGTTTGGTCTATAAAGGAGTCAGGGATTTGCAATGGTAGGTACTTCATAAATATTTGTTAAGTGAATTTTTCCATAGTTTTCTGATATTTATTCAGGGTCCTCAGCAGGTTCAAAGAACATTGTTTCAATGTGTACATAAATAAAGGAATGATTTAATGGGTGAAGTTTCATACTGGAGTACAATAAATAAAATTTCTGTGCTTATTTATTTGGAGTTTGTTTTTATCTCTAAGGAATTATATATTTCTTAAAATGTTGATTATATCTGCAAAATATTATTTTATCTACATAAAAATTGTGCCGCACTAGTCAGTACATTTGGCCTTGTCATTAGGAATTATAAAATGATAGGAAAAAAGATGCTATGATGAAGACATGGACTTTTCTTGGATAGAACTAAAAATTAAGAAGTATTGTGTGGCATTTGAGAATTATATGTACTTAAACATGAATATGGTACAAAATTTAATGTCTGAGCCTCTCATTTGTTGTAAAAATGTTTATATAAATAAATAATATTTATTTGATGGGAAATAGAGATTATGTTCATTCTTTCTACAGTGGGAAATAATTGAGAACATTATCTCTCTTCTGGTATAGTGTACTTTCTGCAATGTTTGTTCTCAAGTTTGAAGTGTTAAATATTTTTATGAAATTTTATTAGAATATACATTTTTCTAATTCTGTTTTGCTTGTGGAATAACAACATACATTCATAGGCCAAGCCCTTTTGGATTTTATACTTTCATGTGTTATCCTGATCAAATTTGTTTTTTTCTTGTTTTTTAATTTTCTTTTATGAAGTGGTTCTTAGAAATGTCTTATATAAGACATGAAACTTTCTTAGATTCATGCAAGTATCTGTTTGAATCCTGAGTTTCTCTTTTACTACTTTCTCCTTTCTTCCTTGTGTTTATTACTATATGAATTTCCCTTCAGGTATATAAAGGGAACAAAAGACAGTGACCTGCAGAGGAATATTGACACAATTGCATGACATAATCTTTAGAACAGTGGCTGTTACATAGTAAAAGATAAATTAAGAATGAATGCTAATTATATTTTTAATTATTATCAGTTGAAAAATTGGTCTTTGAAGAGGCAACTATAATAAAAGAGAATTAGAAGTGAAATTTTTCTCTTTATCTCAGCAAGCTGTAATTGCAGCCTTTATCTGAGACTTTGACTTCCAAGATACTGTGGAACTGTAACTTGTAGCAACATTGCCAGAGGACAGAGAGTCTGGATACTCAAGACTTTCTAATTCTGTTATGTAATGCTGGTTCATGGAACATTGTTTTTCTGTTATTGTGGAGGTAATTTGGAGGATCTTCTGCTTTATCTAAAGCTGGTACTAATAGGAAAAGTTATATCCAGAAAAAAATAAATGCCAGTTGTGTGCTCCCTTGCTATTATAACCTCAAGATCTGTTAAAAGGGCCTAGACATTGAAATCATCCATGCATTTTTGTGTATGTAATCTTTTCTGTATTATGAATCTAGCGTTGTGATTTTTTTTTTTTTGACACCAATGATATTGAACCCAGGGATGCTTAATCACTGAGAAACATACCCAACCCATTTTATTTTTTTATTTTAAAATGATCTCACTAAGTTGTTTAAGGACTTGCTAAATTGCCAACGCTGGCTTTGAACTTGTTATTCTCCTGCCTCAGCCTCCCAGGCTGCTGGGATTAGAGGCATGCATCAATGTGCCCAGCTAGTGTTGTGATTTATGACATTGAGTAATTTCTTTTATTTGTGTGCTAATGAATAAAACCTTATTAGTTATTTGAAATCAAGTTTTTATTTATAAATATAGGTATAAATTATGTGTACCTAAATGTGAATAGGGTAAGATATGAAAGAAAAGACTTTTCCCATCACAATCCCCCCTCACACACACACACTTGGTTCTATAAGATTGCTGAAGTCCTGGATAGTTAGGTAATCAGAGCTACAACTAGGTGTGAATAGTACCTTGTGTTTTTTCTTGTCTGTTTCTCTCAACATCAAGAATCATAGATAATACAATTTTATTATTATGAAATTCTCCTTTTAAAAGTCTTGTATTTATTATGTAATTCCACTTGGAAAATTTTATTTCTTTTTCTTTGCCTTGGCCTTTTCTTACTTTATTTATAAATACACAAAACCTCTAATGCCACACTGCATTTTTGGGACCTGAATTTTGAAGACCCCACTTAAAGTATTTTGGTTGGTGTGACTGTCATTTGTTTAATACTTAATAAATATATGTATTAATAATACTATGATTAACATTTGAAAATGATCATATTTTTTAAAACAATAAATATTACAAAAATTAAGATTAAATTTTATTATCTTGTAGTTGGACACAATATTGAAAAAGAAAATATGCCAGAAGGTCCTACTCAGAAAGGTCTTCGTAAAGCCAGGGAACAAAACAAATGTAAAACAAAGATGAAAGACAATGCAAAGGTATGATATTTATTCATGTTTATACATTAACTTATACTTAATTCTCACATATTTAGATCCATGCACTCATACAGCATCATTTTTTTAACTAGAAAAGAAACTTAGTGGTTATATATAATAATCCTCTGGGTTTATGGAGGGAAAATTGAAGTCCACAATTATTACTAGTAACTAGTTAATTTGGAGACACATGCTTTAATAGTGTTTAAGACACCTCAAAGCATCTCTGTGCCACACTCAATTTTCTGCTTAAAATTAATGCTATATAAAAGAAATAACTCCCAAAACATCTCTTATAGTTTCTCTTTTTTATAGTAGAATTTCTAACTTTTCTCAGTTTTCTTTTCCTTTAGAATAACATGCAACAGAACCATGCCTCATTTAAGAATTTGTATGTATCTGGAGTATTTTTGCTTTGCAATTAGACCAATAATTTAAATCTTGTATAATAATGATATTAAAATTATCTGGTCAATGAAATGAAATTTAAGAAGAAAGAAAATTACGTAAGAAGTACAAGGGGTTTAATTTCTTGTTATGAAAATTCTAGCTGAGATAATGAATTTTCTTATAAAGATGGTTGTTGCCAGAGAGTTCTACATCTGGCATTTGTTGTAAAATGGAAATTTTTATAATTCTAATGTTAGTAGTAGTAATTCAAGAAGAGATTTTTATAAACTCAAATTATAGCATTTACTTAGATAATATCAATAACTTTCCCTTGAAGGTTTACACTAGAATCAATTATTGTATAAATATTCAAATAAAATAAACAAACAGTTATAAGTTATACTAAGTTCTTAACAAAATAATCTTTGGATGATATTCAAATTACTGTTTTACTCTTTATCTATCTTCACTATTAATTCATGGATTGTGGTATTAGAGATAGAGGCAAATAAGAGTTAAGAATTTTTGATGATGTTGTGATTGTCATCAAGAATGTTTCATCTTCTCTTGGTGTAAGTATTCTTTCAGGTAGTGCATCATGCTTAGAAATGATGTGTTGATTTATTCATTAACTGCTTATGGCTTATAAAACCATATTAGTAAACACAAGGTTGATTTTTTTTTCAAGGTTGATTTTTTTCATGTGATGAAAACTATGATAATATAGTAGGCACATTATACATTTATGCATAGTATTTCCTTTTTTGTTATTGCATTAAAATATTTAATGTAATACCTACAATTTGATAAAAGAAAATGAGGCCTTAATTAAAGGCCTAGGTATAGGATAAAGTGAAGCCTTCTCATCCTCACTGAATAATCATTTTTATTAATATTTTTCTTATAATTTTCTTGCAGCTGTTATTATAATGTACCTGAGTTCAGTTTCCAGTTTATGTTTTATTCACTTTAGATGCTATTTATTGACTACCTTGTGGAAATAAAGAGACAGTTAGGTCACTTTACTGATTTGAGTTATATTAGTATATATAGTACCATCATAATTCTATTTTCTATGCTTTATCTGTAAATTAATAGTATAAATTAATTGTACAAAACAACATTTAAATGCATTTTCTTTAAGTAAATATAATTTACTGTAGAATTAACTATCATGATTAAAACCACAGAGAAGGAAATGGAATATCCAAATTACATGAGCACAGAGACTGCTTTTTAAAATATAGCCACTTCCCTAGCTTACATTCAGTGGTCCTTGTTACTTATTTCTCACTTTGTCCTCTCTCATTATTTCTTTTCTTATAACTTCTCACTTTTCTTAGTCCTTCAAAGAAATAACACTGAAAGTCCCTTTTCTGATGAACACTATCAGCCTCTTCATGCTCCCATACCAGCTCCTTTAAGGAATTTTTTTTCCTTTAGCAGTACTTCCTGGTGAGTCACCTCTCTTTATTCCCACTAGTGATATATCTTCCTATATGTATATATTTTTTCCTTACTTGTCTTTTGTTCCTGTCAGGCCACCCTTTGTGATATTTCAAAAGAACTTCTGACCAATATTTCTCCTGCTGTTGTATTCTAGTATCTGCATTTATGGTTAGAAGGGAAGTAGTTTTCCATCTGAGTAAGCTTTTTCCCTTGATGTCATAGAATGCAAATTAGGCACTGATCCATACTGTGCTTTCCAGATACAAAGAACAAACATCAGTGGGATTTCTTATTAGAGGCTTACACTGGGTTTTGGACTATGGCTCTCATCCCCAAGCCTTGGAGGAATATCACTCACATGAGAGATTTCTCTTACACTCACCTCATAAGTAAAGACATCCACAGACTAAGGTGGAAGGATGGCAAGGAAACATCACTCTCATGGATCATTTAAGCAAGAGAGGGGTTTGTATCCTTGTATCAGATAAAGTGGACTTCAAGCCAAAGTTAATCAGAAGGGACAAAGTAGTACATTTCGTACTGCTTAAGGGAATTATACAACAATAAGCCATAACAATTGTAAATATCAATGCCCTAAACAATGGGGCATCTACATATATCAAAGAGACCCTACTCAATTTCAACAGATAGACCACAACATAATAATACTGAATGACTTTAACACTCCTCTCTTACTATGAATAGATTGTCCAAACAAAAACTAAACAAACTATAGAACTAAATAATACAATTGATAATTTATAATTAACAGACATACATAGAATATTTCATCCATCAGTGATTGAATACCCTTTCTTCTCAGCAGCACTTGGATCCTTCTCTAAAATAGACCATATCTTATGCTACAAAGCAACTCTTAGGAAATATGAAAAAAAATAGTGATACCACCCTGCATTCTATCACATCATAATAGAATGAAATTAGAAATCAACAATAAAATAAAAAATAGAAGCTACTTTAACACCTGGAGACTAAATAATATGCTATTGAATGACAATGGATAGCAGACGAAGAAGTCAAGGATGAAATAAAAAAAAATACTTAGAGGTAAATGAGAATAGTGATACAACATATAAAAATCTCTGGGACACTATGAATGGAGTGCTAAGAGGAAAGTTCATTGCACTGTTTGTTCACTCAAAGAATAGAAAGATAATGAATAAATGACCTAATATTAAATCTCAAAAGTCCTAGAAAAAGAAGAGCAAATCAACACCACCAGCAGAAGACGGGAAATAATTAAAATCAGAGCTGAAATTAGTGAAATTGACACAAAAGAAACAACTCAAGGCTAGGGATGTGGCTCAAGCGGTAACACGCTCGCCTGGCATGCGCAGGGCACTGGGTTCGATCCTCAGCACCACATAAAATAAAGATGTTGTGTCCACCGAAAACTGAAAAATAAATATTAAAAAATTCTCTCTCTCTCTCTCTCTCTCTCTCTCTCTCCTCTCTCTCTTTTTTAAAAAAGAAACAACTCAAAAAATTGACAAAATAAAGAGTTGGTTCTTTGAGAAAATAAAGTTGATAAACCCTTAGCCATGCTAATGAAGAGAGAGAGAAAAAACTAATTATTAAAATTAGTGACAAAAAGGAAATAACATGACAGACACTATTGAAATGCAGAATATAATCAGAAACTATTTTGAAAATTTGTACTTCAATGAAATAGAAAATTTTGAAGCCATCCACAGATTTCTAGAGACATATGACCTACCTAAACTGAATCAGGAGGACATGCACAATTTAATCAGATCAATTTCAAACAATTAAATAGAATACACCATCAAAAACTACTAATTAAGAAAAAGCCCAGGAGCTGGTGAATTCTTAGCTGAGTTCTACAAGACCTTCAAAGAAGAATTAATACCAATACATCTTAAGTTATTCCACAAATAGAAAAAGAGAGAACCCTTGCAAACTCATTCTGTGAAGCTAGTATCACTCTGATGCCCAAAACAAAGACACATCAAGAAAACATAACTAAAGAGCAATATTCCTGATGAACATAGAGGCAAAAATCTTTAATATAATACTGGCTAATTGCATGGAAAAACATATTAAAAAGTTAGTGCACCATGATCAAGTTGGGTTCTTCCCAGGGAGCAAAATTGGTTTAATATATACAAATCAATACACTTAATTCATCACATCAGTAGACTCAAAGACAAGAATCATATGATTATCTCAATAGATACATTAAAAAGTACTTGACAAAATACAGTGCCTCTTCATGTTCAAAACACTAGAAAAACTAGAGATAATAGTAACATACCTTAACATTGTAACCACAGCTATATATGTAAACCCAAAGCCAACATCATTCTAAATGGAAAGAAAAAAAAGTGAAAGCATTCCCTCTAAGAACTGGAATGAGATAAGGATGCCCTCTTTCATCACTTTTATACAACATTGTCCTTGAAACTCTAGCCAGAGCAATTAGACAGAAGAAGAAAATTAAAGGGATATGAATAGGAAAATAAGAACTCAAAACTATCACTATTTACCAATGATATCATTCTATTATATTTATAAGATTCAAACAATTCCACCACAAAACTTCTAGAACGAATAAATGAATTTGACAAAGTAGCAGGATATAAAAATTAATACCCATAAAACAAATGTGTTCCTATACATCAGTGATGAATCCTCTGAAAGCGAAATTAGAAAATTAAAAATATATATATTTGGGAATCCATCTAACAAAAGAGGCAAAAGACCTCTACAATAAAAACTACATAACACTAAAGAAAGAAATAGAAAAAGACCTTTGAAGATGGAAAGATTTCCCATGCTCTTGGATAGGCAGAATTAACATTGTCAAAAAGCCATGCTACCACAAACTTACAGATTTAATGCCATCCCTATTAAAATCCCAGTGACATTCTTCATAGAAAAAGCAACCATGAAATTTATTTGGAAAAATAAAAGACAGAGAATAGCCTAAGTAATCCTTAGTGAGAAAAGTGAAGGAGGCATCACCATACCAGGCCTTATACTACAGAGCCGTAGTAACACAACACACATAGACCAATGGTACAGAATAGAAGACATAGAGACAAACCCACATAAATACAGTTATCTTATACTTGACAAAGGTGCCAAAAACATATATCTGAGAAAAGATAGCCTCTTCA